ACTGTGCTCCTAAATGGAAGTCACCACCCCGCTTCCCGGCACTGTACTCCTAAATGGACGTCACCACCCCAGCTTCCCGGCACTGTGCTCCTAAATGGAAGTCACCACCCCAGCTTCACCACACTGTGCTCCTAAATGGACGTCACCACCCCAGCTTCACCACACTGTGCTCCTAAATGGACGTCACCACCCCAGCTTCCCTGCACTGTACTCCTAAATGGAAGTCACCACCCCAGCTTCCCTGCACTGTACTCTTAAATGGACGTCACCACCCCAGCTTCCCTGCACTGTACTCCTAAATGGAAATCACCACCCCAGCTTCCCGGCACTGTACTCCTAAATGGACGTCACCACCCCAGTTTCACCACACTGTGCTCCTAAATGGAAGTCACCACCCCAGCTTCACCACACTGTACTCCTAAATGGACGTCACCACCCCAGCTTCCCTGCACTGTGTTCCTAAATGGAAGTCACCACCCCAGCTTCCCTGCACTGTATTCCTAAATGGAAGTCACCACCCCAGCTTCACCACTCTGTACTCCTAATCAGAAGTCAGCCATCCCAGCTTCATTGCACTATACACCTAACCATCTGCACTGCACTATACTCCTAAACGGAAGTCCACCACTCCAGATGATGCAAAAGAAATTTCCTCCACGCTGAGGGAATATCCATTTTCTTCCACTGATTAAGAGTTGTATAAACAGGCCCTTCCTGAGGGATTTTTTCTCTTTTTTTTTGGAGACGGAATCTTGCCCTGTCGCCAGGTTGAAGTGCAGTAGTGCAATCTCGGCTCACTGCAACCTCCGACTCCCTTCCTGAGGGACTTTCCTGGGTGGTTTCAACTATACATGTTCCCTTATATAATTTTAAGAATTTTGAAAAAGACAGAACTCCCCTACGCCCTCGTTGGAGCACCAGTCACCTCACACAGGGTCCTCTTCAAGACTCTGTGTGTCAGTGGTGTCTGCTCATGAAGTCTCCCTAGAACAGAAAACTGGCCACGCGGCTCACTGTCTACACCGTGCAAAGGCCCCCTGACCTCCTCTCTCCACACTCCCCCACTCTCATCACCCTAACCCAGTCAGTCCTCAGAGTCACCATGCCCTGTCATTGCCGGTCGTCTGTATGTCCTAGTTGTTTGCTCTTGCACAATTTATATTCAAAAAGTTTGAAAATCCCTTCTGAGATTCTAATTCAATTTCCACTCAAGTGCACTGCATCTCTTTGAAATCTCTGAGTCCATTCTGAGCTGTGGGCAATGCAATACTAGGGAAAAAAGGAGTTCCCAGGTGCTGTCTACTCAGTCCACATAACCGGTGTAACCTGAGTCTCTGCACCTTCATGAAAACAGTGGCCAGAAGCTCATTCTCTCTGCATATTCAGACTGGGCACAGCCATCAGAATGGGTAATTCTGTGAGCTCCTAGTGGGTCCATCGTTTGGGCCTCTTAGACTCTCTTAAACCAAGAAGCCTTTACCTGATGTGCCAGTTCAGTAAATGTCTTCAATCCACCTTGATGGCTTAGCCTTAAATCTTTCCACCTGGTTCACTCCCCTTTAACTATTCCATCAATACACAGTTAAGGACATATATCTGAAGGAAATTTACCATTCTCATCACTTCCTCGACCACATCATGCAACAAAATGACTTGCAGAATTCAAAGCACAACATACGTAATACAATGTTTTCTTATGTTTTTGATAATAAACTATTTGTTTTGCACATTCATTGCAGGTACCCATTTTTAGCAAATAGCCTTTTCCATGTTCACACCAAACCCCTCCAATTCCATCCTGGCAAGTGGTTACATTTTACTATATCACATATGCCAGCTAAATCAGAAAAAAAATTCCCCTTTAATAAAAATGTCCTGTGCGCTGTGTCCTAGTGGTCCATATTTGCTCCACATGCCTAAGATTAGATGTCCCTCTAAGTAAAGCAAGAAGAACTCCTGGCACAGTAAGTTGAAGTAGACAGAAGGAAGCAGCTGGGCTCACTGCCTGCTCCTAAAATCCTCTCCAACAGGTAGTTTATGTGATATGCTAGGGAAGGAAAAATGCCCAATCTGACAGGGGGAATCTGTGATTTGTTTTGGCTGTAAAGACAAAGCCACTCACACACAGTCACTTTCTTGGCTCCATGTGTTCCACGTAAACCACTGGGAGCCAGGCATGGTAGCTCATGCCTGCCATCTAAACACTTTGGGAGGCTGAGATGGGAGGATCACTTAAGCCCAGGAGTTTGAGGCCAGCCTGGGCAACACAGCAAGACCCCGTCTCCACAAAAATTTTTTAAAACTTAGCCAGGCTAGTGGCTTCTACCTGTGGTCCCAGCTACTCAAGAGGGTGAGGTGGGAGGATCAATTGAGCCCGGAGTCCAAGCCTGCAGCAAGCTAGAACTGTGCCACTGAACTCCAGCCTGGACAAGACAGCAAGATCCCATTTCTAGAAAAATAAAATACAAAGCAAAACAGTAAAATAAAATAAACCACTGAGGATGTACAGAGTGAAAACACAGAGTGGCCTATGAAATGCAGTAGCCATACTTGGCAATTTCAGTTGTGAAGGCACAGCCAGGGAAAAAAGATCAAAGACTGGCTTTAATATACATTGAATATATATTGGTTATAGAGTTACTCCATATTTAATAGTTATTCCATTAACAGCCTCATAGTTAAAATATTTCTTATACCAGATAATTTTTAAAAACACTTCATGTTCTAACATTAGAAAGAATTTTATAATTGGATCTGGGACCATTTGACAATGTACTTGTAGGGGAAAAAAAAAAAAAAAAACCTAAATTATGTAGGTTTACAATGCAGCTTATGTTACATGAAACTGCTCTCTATAAAGCAAGCATTCTGTACGTGCAATTAACTTTAACTTGAAAAAAACATCTCATGGAAGAAAACATGTAATGTTGAGTAGAACCATTGGAGAACCAAGAGATATTTCTTCTCATTTATCTGTGATCTTTTATCTCATTTGAACAAAATCAATTAAGTATCATAATTAGGGCCCAGAACTCAGTTCAGTTTTATTTTACAGTAACATTTAAACCCTAGAAAAAAATGACGTCTTGACCTGCTTCCTCTGCTATAAGCGGCAATAATTACAATCATCTTGCCGTGTCTCAAGGATGGAAGTAGGCAGTTGGTCTACCCAAATCCATTCTATTGTCCTTGCTTTTGGAGGCCTGTTTAGTTCCTTACCCTCCTCCAGGGTTCAGGTCATCAGACTGTTCTCCCCATCCCCTGCTCCAAGGAGAAAGTCTTGATGAATCTAAGCCAAAGTCATTCCATTCCTCTTGCTCTAACCAGGTTAGGCATAGGCAGATGGGGCAAGTCTGCAGGGAAGGTTTCTGGGAAGTGATGTGCAAGGAAAACCTTCTACCTCTGTAAGGAAATATCCAAAGAGATGATCTAGGAATTAAGCGGCCATCCTGGGGCCCAGGGGAACAAATAAAAGAGCTCAAGCTAATGCCCTAGGCTGCATGCTCAGTTCCATTGCTGAGCTGGTAAAATAACCAGTCCTGGAACTGCCTCACCTTGGCTTTCTGTTTGGTAAGATAACAAGCCCCTTTTTGTTCTGAACACTTTTGTTTTGTTTTGTTTTGTTTTGTTTTTGAGACAGAGTCTCGCTCTGTCACCCAGGCTAGAATGCAGTGGCACGATTTCGGCTCACTGCAACCTCTGCCTCCCGGGTTCAAATGATTCTCTGCCTCGGCCTCCCACGTAGCTGGGATTACAGGCACCCGCACCACGCCCAGCTAATTTTTGTATTTTCAGTAGAGACGGGGTTTCACCATATTGGCCAGGCTGGTCTCAAACCCCTGACCTCATGATCCACCCGCTTCAGCCTCCCAAAGTGCTGGAATTATAGGCATGAGCCACCACGCCCAGCCTGTTCTGAACATTTTTATTGAGCTTTCCACTATTTTCAAAAAAGCAGCCTGATTCATGCACATATCTTTAGAACAAATTTAAAATGCCCTAGAAAAGAATAATCTTCAGTTTAAAATCTAAGCAATCTGGAATTTACAGGACTATGTTCCTCTTAGTTCGAGTTACTCACCATTAAAAAATAATGGTCCTCAGGTTCAGCTCGAAGATATTTAAAAACCACTTGCTCCATGAACCTTTCCATTAGATCCCAGTCTTCAATGATTCCATGTCTTATTGGCCACTGGAGGATGAGAAACCAGAGTTGTCAGGCCTCAGTTCATGACAATAAAAGCAACTGTTTAACAGTGGCACAGAAGAAACTGCAATATTACAGAATAAAGGTCTCCTTCTTGTTGCAGTTTTTGTTAATTCTTATAGAGAAACAACAGCATTTAAAAAAAAAAGATTAAGTTACATTAAAAAAAGATTAAGTTACATTATTGCTCATATTCTCCTCCACTCATTTCTATTTCTACAAACAAAGAATCACCCTAACAATAAGGTGGGGACACGCCAGGCATGTTGGTTCACACCTCTAATCCAACACTTTGGGAAGCCAAGGCAGGAGTATCACTCAAGCCCAGGAGTTTGAGAACAGCCTGGGCAACATGGCAAGACCCTGACTCTACAAAAAATCACAAAATTAGCCAACCACGGTGGTGTGTGCCTGTAGTCCTATCTACTTGGGAAGTTGAGGTGAGAGGTTGAGGCTGCAGTAAGCCAAGACAGCACCACAGCTCCAGCCTGGGTGACAAAGTAAGACCTATCACTAAAACAACCACCAAAAAAAAAAGAGAGAGAGAAACAGAAAACTGCAGCTAATTACCATAAAACTGGATCTGGAGCTTAAAAAAAAAAAAAAAGTCTGACAAGTTAGTCAACCTGCAATTTTCCAGTGGAGGGGATCTTGCTTTCACGTGTGACCTGGTGTTTCCTGAGTCTATTCTGCATTCCAGGGATCTGTTAATTCCCTTCATTCTCCAATCAAAAATACCCCTCTTCAAAAACAACCACCAGCACCACCTCTATTCAAACATAAGAATATAAATACAGTCCGGCTGGGCATGGTGGCTCACACCTGCAATCCCAGCACTTTGGGAGGCCAAGGCGGGTGGATCACAAGGTCAAGAGGTCAAGATCAACCTGGGCAACATAGTGAAACGCCATCTCTACTAAAAATACAAAAATTAGCTGGGCATGGTGGCATGTGCCTGTAATCCCAGCTACTCGGGAGGCTGAGGCAGGAGAATCACTTGAACCAGGGAGTCGGAGGTTTCAGTGAGCCGAGAATACGCCACTATACTGCACTCCAGCCTGGCGATAGAGACTCCAAAAAAAAAAAAAAAAAAAAAGAACATAAATACATTCCATGACTCACAAACCCAACTTCTAGATGACTATTTTGCATTAATCATCCTGCCGCTCTACACTTAGAGAAGCAAATTCCTGTCCGAAATTTACCTTTGTAGCATACGTAGGTTTATCAATGGCTTCATCTCCAATGAAAAAGTCAAGGTCATCAACTCCCCTCAACACTCTCCTTTGGGCTTGGTCAACTACCTTTGCTGACTCTCTGATGGCAATACCTTAAAAAAAACATACACAGATTTCTATCACTACCCATATCTATTTAAATGATCAAAAGGAATAATATCGCTACATACATACAAGTAAATTTCCATTGTTAGGGTTCCATGTGGAGTCAAGGGTGCTCACAGAAATGACAATGTCAACGAGCACATAAAATAATACAGAAACTAATACAGAAACAGGCTGTTCTATTCTGGTATGATTTTCAGAATGTACAAAGGAACTAAGCTTCTCTGCTTTTATGTTGACAGAAGCTACATTACTAAATTTCTCAGTTTTATCTGGAAAAATCCCTCAAGACTGTAAGTGAAATGTCTATACATCAGTAGCTTCCAAATTTAAAATACAATGTAGAAGGGGAGGAAATTCTGTATAATACAGAAGAGGAGAGTAAACTGAAAAATAGTGTCTACAATAAAACTCTACATCACATAGCCTTCAAACGTATTTTTAGTTTTGTTACAGGGGGAAAAGAGCCACAACTTCCCATTAAAAGGATAAATTAGAATGTTATTGGTTAATATCCGTAACCCAAAAAAAGGACCATAATCAAATAACTATTATATTAAAATTCCAAATATTAATGGCTTCATAATACATTAATAAGATTTTAACCTTAAATATTTGAGGATACATTTAATAGTAAATACTCATATCAAACTTCATTCCAGAATTTAACATCTAATGAAATGTGGAAGGCATCACAAAGATTCCATTTTTCACTTAAATTCATAATCCCTGGTCACACTCTGAGCTCTCCCAAGAGCTTATTTTCATCCATCAGGTCTCTACATAAACACCATCTCATCCCTTGAAGGCTTCCTTGACAACCTGTAGTTCTGCACATGTGTTTGATGCTTCCACTGGCCCTTCTACACTTACATCATGGCATTTTTCAGGATGAATTACAATTGTTAAAGATTAGTCTACCAAACTAGACTGTAGATCCCTTGCAGTAAGATAACATACATCTTTTACTGTTTCTCCAGTGGGAGGCTCGGATGTCATTAACAATAATAATTTACATTTACTAAACACTCTGCTGCTAAGTGTTTCCTTTTGCACGCTATTTTATGTAAGCCTCATAGTAGCTTTCAACAGGTACAATTATCTGCATTTTACAGAAATGGAAGCCTAACAATCTATCAAGGTCACACAGCTTCTAAAAGACACAGATAGGATTTGCACCTAAGCAGGTTCCTAACAGAATAGGCACTAGAGAAACATTTGTTAAATTAACATTCTACTCCACTAAAATATTTATTGTCGGTTTGAGAAATGGTAAAACTATACCTAAATAGTTCTAACATAAACCTAATTCCATAAATATACTAATGACATCTACTACCTTTAATGTATTTCTGATGAAAGAACAGCTCTCTAGCTATACATATATAAGTGCTAGATAAAGTTTCTCTGAATTAAAACATCAAAATATTTGTGACTTACTACCTAAAGTGATGTACAGAGTCAGTATGATCCTTACCAAAATACCAATGGCAACCTTCACAGAAATAGAAAAAATAATCCTAAGTTCATATGGAACCACCACAAGATACCCCAAATAATCAAGGGAATCTTTAGCAAAAAGAACAAAGCTGAAGGGATCACACTACTTGACTTCAAAGTACACTACAAACCTACAGCAATCAAAACAGCATGGTACTGGTATAAAAACAGACATGTAAACCAATGGAACAAAGAGCCCAGAAATGAATCCATGTATTTATATTCAACTGATTTTACACAATGGCAAAGTATAAATAAATGGTATTGGAGAAAAACTTGATATCCACATGTAGAAGAATGAAAGTGAATGCTTCTCTCTCAACCATATACAAAAATTAACTCAAAATGGATTAAGACTTATTCAATGTAAGACCTGAAACTGTTGAACTAGTAGAAAAAAATGGGAAAATGCTTCATAACATTGGTCTGGGCAAGGATTTTTTTGGACAAGACCTTAGGAACACAGGTCACAAAAACAGACAACTGGAATTATCAAACTAAAAATCTTCTGCACAGCAAAGAAAACAATCAACAGAGTGAAGACACAATCTATAGAATGTGAAACTATTTCCAAACTACCTGACAGATTAATAACCAAAATATATAAAGAACTCAAACAGCAATTAAAAAAATAACCCAAGTGAAAAATGAAAAATGAACAAGAGCCCTGAATGGGCATTTCTCAAAAGAAGACATACAAGTGGCCGACAGGTGTATGAAAAAAATGCTCAACATCACTAGCCATCAGGGAAATGCAAATCAAACCCACAATGAGATATCAAACACTTCACCCCATTGAGAATGGCAATTATCAATAAAGCAAAAGATAATAAGTGCTGGGGACAAGGTAGCAAAAAGAGAATCTTTATACACTATTGGTGAGAATGCAAATTAGTATAGCCATTATGGAAAACAGTATAAAGGTTCCTCAAACAATTAAAATCAGAACTACAATATGACCCAACAATCCCACTACTGGGCATATATCTAAATGAAATGAAATCAACATGTTGAAGAGCTGGCTGCACTCCCATGTTTACTGTAGCACTATTCACAATAACCAAGATATGGAATCAACCTAAGTGTCCATTAACAGATGAACAGATAAAGAAAATGTGGCTTTATACACAATGGAATACTATTCAGCCATTTCAAAAAAGGAAATTCCGCCATCTGCCCCCAACATGGATGAACCTGGACATTATGTTAAGTTAAATAGGCCAGGCACAGAAAGACAAATATCACGTGGTCTCATTCATATGTAGGATCTTAAAAAGTAGATCTCATAGGAGGTAAAGTGTAGAATGGTGATTACCAGAAACTGAGGCTATTAGGGGATGGAAAGGACAGGGAGATCCTGGTCGAAAAATAAATAACTACGGTTAGACAGGAAACATAAATTACAAGAGATCTAGTGTACAGTAAGGTGACAACAGTTAATGATGATATATTGCATTCTTACAAAATGTAAAGAGAGTATGCTATGTGCTTTCACCACAAAAATGATAACTATATAAGATAATGCATTTGTTAATTGGCTAGATTTAATCATTTTGTAATGTATATATACTTCAACACATCATATTACATATGATAAAAATATACAATGTTATCTGTATATTTAAAAAATTAAAGTCATAGCCAGCTATGGTGGCTCATGGCTCATGAATGTAATCCCAGAGACTCAGGAGGCTAAGGCAGGAGGATCACTCGAGCTCAGGAGTTTCAGAACAGCCTGGGCAAAATAGCAAGACCCCACCTCAAAAAATGCTAAAAAAAAATTAGCCAGGCACAATGGCACACAAGTCTGTAATCCCAGCTACCCAGAAGGATCACTTGAGCCCAAGAGGTTGAGGCTGCGGTGAGCTATGATCACCCCATTGCACTCCAGCCTGAGCAACAGAGTGAGACCCCATACCTAAAAAAAGTTTAAAGGTCTAAAATCTGTTTTTAATTAAAAATCTTTCTTAAATCCTTGTGACTGAATTTCAGGAGACAGTAAATAATGTTTCTAGGCTGGGCACAGAGGCTCACACCTGTAATTCCAGCACTTTGGGTGGCCAAGACAGGCAGATTGCTTGAGCCCAGGAGTTTGAGACTAGCCTGGGCAACACAGTGAAAACCTTTCTCTATACAAAAAAATACAAAACCTAGCCGGGAGTCCCAGCTACTTGGGAGCCTGAGACAAGGGGACTGGGAAGTTGTGACTGCAGTGAGCCATGATCACGCCACCATACTCCAGCCTGGGTGACAGAGCAAGACCCTGTCACTAACAAAACGTAACAAAATGTTTCTGAACTAATTTCTTCAAACAGTCCAGCCAAGTTAATTTTTCTACACAGCTACTTCATGAATGAGCACACAGACTTTGAAGTTCTGAAAACCTAGGTTTAAGCACTTACTTGCTAGCTGACTTGAGGAAAGTCATTATTAACACTCAGTGCTCTCTCCTCTAAAATGCATATACCACTACCTACCAGGGTGGTGAGTATTACGTGGAACAATGTTTACAAAGTGTTCAGCAGAGAATATGCTACAGAGTAGTAGTCAATAAACAATGTTATCTATACCAAATTGGAGGCCAAATTTGTGACTGGCTGAACACTGAACAGGTACCCGGATACAACCATTCCAGAGAAGAACTGAGAAAAACATTATAAAAATGTTTATCCAGCAATTCCACTTCTAGAAATTCATTCTAAAGAAATAATCATTGAGAAAATAAAGGTATATATACAATAATATTCTTTCTAAAACTAATTGTAATAGCAATAAATTGAAGGGGGAAACTTAACTGACCTGAAATCAGAGATCAGATAAATTACATCAAATCCTTAGAAAGAGCTACTAAGGGCCGGGTACAGTGGCTCACGCCTGTAATCTCAGCACTTTGGGAGGCCAAGGTGGGCATATCACGAGGTGAAGAGATCTAGATCATCCTGGCCAACATGGTGAAATCCCCGTCTCTACTAAAACATACAAAAATTAGCTGGGCATGGTGACACATGCCTGTAGTCCCAGCTACTCAGAAGGCTGAGGCAGGAGAATTGCTTGAACCCGGGAGGGAGGTTGCAGTGAGCCAAGATCTCGCCACTGCTCTCCAGCCTGGCGCCTGTCGACAGAGCAAGACTCTGTCTCAAAAAGAAAAAGAGCCGGGCGCAGTGGCTCGCGCCTGTAATCCCAACACTTTGGGAGGCCGAGGCGGGCGGATCACCTGAGGTCGGAAGTTCGAGACCAGCCAGGCGAACATGGTGAAACCCTGCCTCTTAAAAAAAAAAGGAAAAAAAGAAAGAGCTACTAAGTTGCCTTTCAGAATATGCACAGTGTAACTCCACTTCAGTAAATTTACCGAGTTACACGTGTGTGTTTAATGTAAATTCAGAAAAATAAGATGGCTAGCCAAAAGATTAATACTGGTTAACTGTGAGTGGTAGAACTACCAGTGACTTTTGCTTCTTCTACTGGGTATATTGGTTGTTTTTTTCCA